CGTGCACCCTGCTCCCCTCGCTCCTGCTCCCCAACTGCCCTGTCATGAAGGGTTATATTTCAGTGCGTTCTGGAGTAGGTTAGTGGATTGAACACTGGTTGAGGAGGCAGGAACTCCTATAATCTCCTGTCCCTGACTCCCTTTGCGGCTTGGGCAAAACACTGTGAGGGATATGATCAAGTGTGAAACTTAGTCAATTTAAAGAAGGGTGGGTACCATACCAGCATCCAGTGGGGTTGTGGACTTTAAACACTCTCAGGGTATAAATAAATAGTAATCAGGGTCAGGTACTGCACATGCCCACAGGTCCCTTTGCCAGGATTTGTGATTTTTATAATCACATCTTCATGCTCTTAAAAAATCATTTTTTTTTTCTCAGGAAAATAAATGAGATATAGCACAACTTACTATATACAAAACACTGTCAAATCATAGAAAGTTGGGGTTGGAAGGGACCTCAGGAGGTCATCCTGCTCAAAGCAGGACCATCCTCAACTAGATCATCCCAGCCAAGACTTTATCTGGGTCTTAGAAGCATCTAAGGGTGGAGATTCCACCACCTCTCTGGGTAGCCTATTCTAGTGCTTTACTACCCTTCTAGTGAGAACTTTTTTTTCCAATATCTAACCTAAACTTCTCTTGCTGCAGCTTGAGACCATTGCTTCTTGTTCTGTCATCTGCCACCACTGAGAACAATCTAGCTCCATTCTCTTTGGAACCACCCTTCAGGTAGTTGGAGGTTGCTATTGAATCTTCCCTCAATCTTGTCTTTTCCAGACTGAGTAAATCCAGTTCCCTTAACCTCTTCTCATAAGCCACGTGTCCCAGTCCTCTAACCATTTTGCCCTCTGCTGGACTCTCTAATTTGTCCACATCCTTTCTGTAGTGGGGGGCCAAAACTGAACATGGTACTCCAGATGTGGCCTCACCAGTGTCAAATAAAGGGGAAGAATCACTTCCCTCAATCTGTTGGCAATGCTCCTACCAATGCAGCCCAGTATGCTGTTAGCCTTTTTGGCAACAAGGGCACACAGCTGGCTCATTCAGCTTGTTGTCCACTGTAACCCCCAGGTCCTTTTCTGCAGAGCTGTGGCTTAGCCAGTCAGCCCCCAGCCTGTTCCAAGTGTGGGATGGTTCTGTCCTAAGTGCAGGACTTTGCATTTGTCCTTATTGTATTTTCATGAGATTTCTTTTGGTTCAGTCCTCCAATTTGTTTAGGTCTCTCTGAATTCTCACCCTACCTCCAGTGTATCTACTACTCTACCCAGCTTGATGTCATCTGCAAACTTGCTGAGGGTGCCCTCCATCCCATCTTCCAGGTCCCTGATAAAGGACAGATTCCTGGGGCACTCCACTTGATACTGGCTGCCAACTAGACATTGAGCCATTGATCCCTTTGAGCCCAATGATCCAGCCAGCCTTCTGTCCACCTTACAATCCACTTATCCAACCCATACTTCCTTACTTTGCTTGCAAGAATGTTGTGGGAGACTGAATCAAAAGCCTTGCTAAAGTCAAGGTATGCCACATCCAGAGCCAGCATCTCATCATAGAAGGCAATCAGGATGGTCAGGCATGACTTGCCCTTGGTGAATCTATCCTGACTCTTCCTAGTTACCTTCTCCTCCAAGTGCTTAGAAATGGATTCCTTTAGGACCTGCTCCATGACTTTTCCAGGGACTGAAGTGAGGCTGACCTGTCTGCAGTTCTCTGGATCTTCCTTCTTCCATTTCTTAAAGATGGATACTATATTTGCCCTTTTCCAATTGTTTGGGACTTCTCCCAATTGTCACGAGTTTTCAAAGATAAGAGCCAGCAGCTCTTCAATCACATCAGCCAGCTCCCTCAGCACCCTCAGGCACACTGCATCTGGCTCTATGGGCTTGTACACATCCAACTTTTCGAAATAGTCCGTGACCCAGGGGTCAACAACCTGGCGCACATGCCAGAGCGTGACAGATGAAGGCATTTTGCTTGGCATGCAGGCTTCGGGGCGGATGGCAGGGAAGGGGCCAAGGCTGTGCTCCCACAAAGATCGGGCCCCTTGCAGCCCCCCAGCTATTTACCCCTGGCACACCAACATTTTACAAGCATCTTTGGCACCTCATCCAAAAACGTTGCTGACCCTGCTCTAACCTGTTCTTTTGCTATTGTTGGTTGCTCACCTCCTCCCCAAACTGTGCTGCTCAGTGCAGTAGTCTGGGAGCTGATCGTGCCTGTAAAGACTGAGGTGAAAAAGGCATTGAGCACTTCAGCCTTTTCCACATCATCTGTCACTGGGTTGCCTCCCCCATTCAGTAAGATACCCACACTTTCCCTGATCTTCCTGTTTTTGTTGACATACTTGAGTAAATACTTCTATATTCTTCCCTAGTCATTTGTCCAAGTTTTGACTTCTTGTAAGCTTCCTTTTTGTGTTTTAGCTCAGTGAAGAGTTCCCTGCTAAGCCAAGCTGAACTTCTGCCATATTTGCTAGTCTTCCTGTGCATCAGGATAGTTCATTTCTGTGCCATCAGTCAGGTGTTTTTAAAGTACAACCAGCTCTCCTGGACTCCTTTCCCCCTCAGAGTGACCTCTCAGGGGATCCTGCTAATCAGTTCCCTGAGCGAGTCGGAAGTCTGCTTTTCTGAAGTCCAGGGTCCTTACTGTGCTGCTCTCCTTCCTTCCTTCCTTTATCAGGATCCTGAACTCAATCATCACATGGTCACTGCTGTCCAATTTGCCATCCACTACTACATTCCCCACCAATTTTTCCATCCGCGAGCAGTAGATCAAAAAAAGCATTGTACCTGGGTGGCCTCTCCAACACTTGCACCAGGATTGAGGAGAGCACCACCTGAGCCCCTGTCCTTTCACCCTGGCATCCAGAGCCCTGTAGTCACTTTTGATCTGCTCATGGTCCACCCTCGCAATATCATTAGGCGCCTGTACATGAGCTCTGAGGCTGCTGCAATGTGCTGGAATTCCGGTGCATCAGAGCAGACTCAATTAATCAAGTGTGCTGGAGCGTGGCAATTGCCGTGCTCTAGCAGCCTTCTGCATTTTGCGTATCAGTGTCTCTGTGCTGAAAAGTGGTGGCAGGGGCACTTGAACTAAAGCCCATCAAATGAGCTTTAGTTCAAGTGCCCCTACCGCCATTTTCAAGCAATGGGGCGCTGACGTAGGAGATGCGGTGGCATTTTCGTTACAGCAGCTCTTGGAGCCGTTCTAATTCCAGTGCTGCCCTCCCCATCCTTGGAGCATATTTAAAAGTGCCCATTTGTGCCCTCATGGATGAGCATGGGGTAGTCGTCAGAGGGTTGGATGAATCTCAGTAATCCTTCTGTGACTTCTAGGCTCTGGACTCCAGGAAAGCAGCAGACTTCCTAAAACAACAGGTCAGGCTGGAAGACAGATGACTCTGCCCTGCAGAAGAGTCTCAAACCACCACTACCCATCACTTCCTCTTGGTGGCAGTGGTCTTGATCCTCCCAACTGTGGGAATCCCTGGCCTGGCCTGGCCTGGCTTCTTTTACCACAGAGTCTCTTGGTAGGGCCCCGTGTCTGTTCTCCAGGAAAACTGCTGCAGTCGGGATGAAGACTTCTGCTTGCTGCCAGTGCTCACAAGCTTCCACCTTCCTGGGAGTCCATGTCCTCTTCCTCCTCTAGTGCCACCTATGAATTGTGTAAATTAAAGTGGGGGAGGTGGGAAGGAGACAAAATCCTTCTCATTTCCTTCAGTTTGAGATTTTTCAGAACTCTGGAATAATTACAGGAAACAAAAAATTCAGACAAGAGTGGGGGTTAGCTATTAAAATGTGTTTCTTTGCCTCTGTTATTCCATCTATAAAATAGGACTGATGTGAGTTACATATCAGCCAGATGGGTTGGGGATGTGATGCCTGTTTTTGGAGCCAGAGACATGCTCCTCATTCACATTCCAGCATGTAAAATGAGACAAAACAGTTTTTTTCAGTGTTTCTGGAATCCATGCTTTTCACTGGACATGTTCTTCCTGTCCCGAGTCACCTCTTTGCATTGCTGCTCAGTGATATGGTACAGGCTCAGCCTGTTAAGCCACTGTCAATTTATTCTGTGTAATTTCCAGGTCAGTGTTGTGTGGACTCATGACAGGGTAGGAGGATTAACAAGCTTCAGTGCAGTTTGCTTTTCTTAAATTTGATCTCTGCAGGGGAAACCAAGTCCATAGAGTTCCCTGATTTAAAAAAAAAAAAAAAAGGAACCTCCCCCTCCCCCCAGCGGTTTATTTTGTGTAGGAGAGGGGAGCACCCTTCACAAAAGCACAAGGAGTCAAGTTTGACTCTGTCTGTGTGACTGTTAATGTTGCATGTCTGTACAGCTCTCCTCTACCCCAGGGATAGGTGGCCTTTTCGTGCTGTGGCCAGAACATGTCAGAGGAGGGCCGGTAGATCTGGCCTGCTGCCATAGGCTGCTGACCCCTGCTGTACACAGACTCCCCCTCCCCATCTTGTTTTCTGCCTTTCCAGCTGCGATCACCTCCAGGTCCCCACAGCATATAGGTGAAGCAGCATATGGTTTGTTAATCTTTATGCCCATTCATGCGAATGCAGGGCTGGAAAGGCCTTCCTGGGCCACTGAGTCCACTCCCCTTTGGTCACAGGCAATAGTTAACCAAAGGAATCCCCCAAATGACCTCTGCAAAGCCTGGCTCATAATTACTTGGAGTAAGATCAGAAATGCCAAGAGCACCTTCCAACATACTGTAGGTAAAAGCAAGGGAGACAAGGGCACTATCAATGCAGCCACTGGGAAGTACTTGGTCAAAAAAGCCTAAGAAAAAGAGCAGGCCTCTGGGGGGGGGTAGACTTGTCGTGTCTCTTTGTGCACAGTAACCTCTCCTCCCTGCACTGCGTAGGACACCTGTTGGCTGCATTGGGCGCGCTCGAGATATTAACTGGCTGGCTCCGGTGGGAATTTTGCTTTCGTCCGAGGTAACCCTGGTGTGAATACGGATTCTGTGGTTCCTCTCTCGCACAGTGAGAACAGCAGTTTGTTCATGGCTAACTTTAAACAAGAAACAGTTGGAAGAAATTAAAGTTCTCCTCTGGGAGTCACATGGTGGATCTTGGCTCCAATATTTTGTTCTCTAGCAAACCATGTAGCATCTGTTTTGGGGGTGGGGGAGGGGAGAGCACAGTGCAGGAGCTGAGATCCTCTTGACAGCAGGGACAGGCGGGTGTTGTCTGGCGTTCTGTACCTCGAGATAGGCGGTGTTTATGCAACCTCAGTATTCTCCAGTTCTCTCCTTCTGCCTCAGCATTGGAGTTGCTGATTTTTTCCTGCTGGTGGAGGGGGTGAAGCCTCTCACCAAATCGGTCAGTGCTGCCAGGAGGAAGTGGATGAGGCATCTCCCTTTTTACTCAGGCCACCAACCCCCTGCCAAGCCAAGAGCTCAGCGTTCTCCCCTACCACTTCTCTAGAGACTAGAAAATCTAGCACTAGGCACTTCTAATAACTATGGCTTTAGCAATCATCACGATGCATCCTTTTTGCAGGCCCTAATGCTACTGATTCCAGCTTTCTTGTTAATCGGATGGGCTCCTAATGTGATCGTGCTGAGTATTGGACTATTGCTGTACTCTTTTGGTGAGTTGTTCAAGCACAGAAACCTGTGGGGCAAACCCACTTCACAGATTTCTTCACCCCTACTGAATATACATTTTGGGCTTTATAGAATTGATCCTAGAAGTTGACTTCCTTGCTTAAAAAAACCTGGAAGGAATTGGAACTCTGGGTGTTTTTTGATGCTACTTGTATCTCTGGATGTTGCCATGGTGATGTTTGGAAATGTCACCAGTGCTTATATCGTCAGTTTATAGGGCAGCGTTCAGATTCTGTGCCCTCTCCCCCCGAGGACCTAATGGCAAAGTGTTTATTAAGTAAAAGTACTCAACTGCTGCTTTTCAGAGCTGCATTATTCATTGCAGCATGGACACCAGGTTGAGGATCCCTTATAACTTGGAGGTGAAGCATGGAGTAGCTGTAAGGGTACAAGTGAGAGGTCCTGCATAAGAACACTGATTAATGTTACAACGTAGCCAAGGGAGGGCTCATTTGACTGTATAGTTTTGTGTTCTCTTGCCCCAAGTATGGGAGAGGGGAAAACTTTGAGCAGTTTAGAAAGAAGCATGTGTAGGTGTGTGTACATGCAAGTACACATGTGGGTCTGCTTTTATTATTTATTTATGCCCCCACACATGCATTTATGCCCCCACACACACATACCACATCCCCCAAATAAGATGTGTCCATTAGTTTGGGAAAGGAGACTGAAGGGGAAAAAAAAAGATCTTTCCAGTTGTGGCTGGATCCTGACCATATGGGACTCTGACCACATGACTGAATCCTGGCCCTTGCTGCTTGGCCAAAAAAAGCCAGTTCTAGCCCTCTCACAGTCATTAATTGGCAGCAGCTTTTGGCTGCTCAGAAAAAAGCTGCTGCCAACTCAATAGTGGCTGTAAAAGGATTAAAACTAACTGATACTGAACAGTGCACTGCCCCTGCCTCTCCTTCCCAGGCTGGGGGAGAAGGACGCTCCCAGCAGCCACTGCAGCAGCCCTATGCAAAGAAGTTAGTTCTCCTACTTAAGACACAGATCACGATTTTGCAGGGCTGTTTTTTCTGAAAAAGGTGCGTCTGCTATGTGACTGTGCTTGTATGTATATAACCACGTGTGTAACTATATGTATATATTTATGTGTATATATAACATATATGAAGGCAAGCAATTTCCACAACTTTAGGCCTTCAGAAAGCATTTAAGCATGAACTTATACTTTTCTGAGTAGAAATGGGATCTTTTAAAATGTTATTTGCTTTAAGGTGAGGCCATGTGGCAATGTGCCTGGCCAGGACTGGGTGGTGGAGGGGTGCACATTAGGCCTATGCGAATAGGGAAGTATTCAATTTGGATTTGGCTGATTCAGAGGACAGTGATTTGATTCAGTGATTCGAATCACTGTCCCCATTCGATTTGGCTGAATCAGAATTGGAGATTTGGTGCTGATTCAGAGTGGCTGGGGAGAGTCAGGCACAGCCAGGCAGTTGCAGGTTCTCTCATGGCTCCTCTGGTTGTGCCTGCCTCTCCCCGGGCGGGGGGGAACCACAGGAGAAGCCCCCATGGCTGCCTTGCTCAGCCATATCCCCTGCCAAGCCCCAGCCTAGTTCTGGCACTTTAAAAAAATAAATAACTAAATAAATAAAAGCCCCTCACTCACTGGCTCTGGCAGTGAGGATCAGGGCCTCTGAGGGCTTGTGGAAGAACCCCCCCTGTGCAGTGGGGTGCAGCAGGGATTACTGTCCCCCCCCAGCACCCACGGGAGCAGGGGTGGCTTCAGCAGTCACCCAGAGCCCAGCACTGCTCAGCCCTAGCTCCCAGATGGGTGCAGCAGAGCGCCACGCACTGTGCCATGGGGCAGCTGCTGTGCGGGTGCCAGGCAGGGGGTGGGGGGAGGCGATCCCCACTACCCCACGCTGCATTGTGGGGCTCTGCCACAAGCCCTCTGAGGCCCCTATTGCTGCTGCCAGAGCCAGTGAGTATGGGGCTTTTTTAAGTGCCGGGAGGCTGGGGCTGGGCAGCACAGCCATGGGGGCTTCCCCCACGGCTCCCCCGACCAGGCAGAGGTAGGCACAGACAGAGGAGCCACGGGAGAACCTGCAGCTGCCCAGCTGTTCCTGCATCTCCCCGGCCGAGCTGAATCTCCAAATCTTTTCCAAATCAATTCAGAGGCTTCTGATTCAATTTGGACCTTTTAATAGGTCTCCCCATTCGAATCAGGTTCAGAGGTTTGGCCGCCGAATCAGGCCAGATCTCCTATGAATTGAATCAGTGACTGAAGCTTTGCACAGCCCTAGTACACATGTGCAGATTATTTAAGTGGTTAAGCCCAAATCTTATCTATAAATTGAGCTGCTTGAAAATTAAATCATCCAAGTCTATTGAGCAAGGCCAAGCTTGCGCCATCTGACAGTTTTCCTTCTTGCCGAAGGAAGGCTGATTTTTTTTTGTAGCAGTTTCTTGAGAGAAACGTGCTCTATTTCAGTAAGAAAGCAGTTGTCACTGACAAATCTTGGCTCGTGTGTGTTAACTTCCTTAGCCTTGGCATCTGCAGACTGTATTGCAGAACAACACAGTGCTTTTATCCACCTACTCCACCCGTATTTTAATCTTTTGTATCTCTGAGGACACTTTCCAGTTCTGTGCGTGGCTGTTTTACTCAGACATGTGACCCATGAACGATTCCCTCCCCCACTACCTGACAAGAAGACGGAGATCTGGAAAACTCCCATTTAATGGAACAGAATGTAACTGACCCATCTACTCCCTTCCCCTGCACTCTGGGGGAGAGAAATTTTAATGTAAAACAGCTGCTGAACACTCAAAGCCCTTATGGCTCCAAGGCTTGTTTGTGCAGGTTGGCTTTAAGGAGGTGTTTTTATTATTAAACTAAATCAAACCTTATGATTCATTGTTGGTAGAATGCCCTAAGGCTCGGCATTTTTCTGTGCAGCAGTAACCCGTTGGGCTGCATTCCTGGTTGTTTCTCTCCTGGCTATTTTTGCGCTTTCTGCTGCTCCGTGATAATTCTAACCTGCTTTTACTGATTTTTCTAGCGGCTGCTATCGTTGTTCCGTGCTTGTCAGCAGTGGTGTCAGGCTACGGTGAGTGTCTCACTGGGTATTATGCTTGTCTGCATGAAACTAAATTAAACCAAAGCCATGTTTTAAAGAAATACTCACTTCTACTTGAGAGGTTTTGGTGAAGCAGCAATAGACGTTTCAGGCAAGAACTGCCCTTTCAGAGCAGAGGCAAGGTTGCCTTTCCAGTTCCGCCTGATGACAACCCACCAAAAAAAAACACCTGTGCCCACCTCTGAGCACCCTCAAGGGAAATCAGAAATGCTCTCAATTAAAAGTAAAGCCAGTCAGCAGATCCTCTGTGTTGACAGGCTGCACTGTTGTCATGGAGTGGCCCAGGCCTGGATTGTACAGATTTCCCTTGCTTTATGTGGTACATGCATTCCTGCAAAACTGTACATAACTCAAATTTGCATAAAGGGAACCCACTTTACAAAGTAACAACTAGGGACACGTTCCAAGACCTCGACTGCATCGGCAGCAGGTAAGTCTCTTGGGGCTGGGGGCTGCACTGGGCTCTTCCCAGTGTGGGGGCTGGGCCGGGTTGCACTTGGGGTGGGCGGTGGTGCTGGAGGTGGGGGCCTGCAGCCATCCAAAAATTTTCTGTAGCACCGCCCCCCCCCCCCCACTTCCCAGCGCTACCACTGCCTGCCCCAAGCACGGTGCGGCCCAACCCCTACCAGGAACAGCCTGGCCCCAGGGGCTGGGGTGAGTGGGGCCTCGATCTGCCTCCACCCCCAGGGGTGAGGGAGGGAGTGGGGCTGCGGCTGGGGCAGAGGCAGGTGCTGCACAGCTGGGTCAGGGCGCAGCTCCTGCTGCTATGGACTGCGGCCAGGGGCAGTGCCAGGCTCTTCCTGGTGGAGGGGGTTGGGCTGCGTTGGGCTCAAGGTAGGTGTCAGCGGCACTGGGAGGGAGGTTTTGGGGGACTGTGGTGAATTTTGGGGTGGTTGCAGCCCCCCCAGCACTGCTGCCGCCCATCCCAAGCGCAGTCTGGCCCAGCTCCCTACCAGGAAGAGCCTGACATTGTTCCTGGCCCCAGCCCACAGCAGCAGCCCGTAGCAGCAGGAGCCACACCCCATGCTCTGCCCCGGCTGTGCAGCACCTGCCCCAGCTCCTGTCCCACTCCCTCCCTCACATGGTGGGGGGGGGCAGATAGAGGCCCCACTCACCTCAGCCCCTGCTCCTGCCTATGCCCTACTACCTCCCTCACCACTAGGGTCTCAATCTGCCCCTCTGCCCACAGCCCTTTTCCCTTCCCCTGCCCATTTACCTACTGCCAATCGCATAACAGTAAATTTACCTCTTATAACAAATTTTGGGTATAAAAAGGTCATTGCATAAGAGCAAATTCACATATACAGACCTGCATAAAGCGATGGAAACCTGTATTAGTAAGTTTTAGGATAGTGCTGTTCGATGCTAATAATGAATATGCATACCCAGAGAGATCCCATCCTTTGATCACTTCCTCAAAACTCGCCACCCTTGCCTTGGAAGGGAGAAGATACCCTGCATTCCAGACTAGACCCTCTTGGCATAGAAAGCACAGAGCAATTCTGCCTACTCCTGCTGCAGGCAAATCATCAGCACTTACTGAGCAGTGGTGATGTCTAACGATCAGTAAACCATCTACACCCATTGTCATGAGATCCTGTCTCTATATCAATGGCACAGTTACTAAATGCTTCCTAAACCTGCTCCTAAAGAAACTTATAGCATCTGGGTTCCTTCTTCATTCACTCACTCCCACTTCCTGTACAAACATAACCAAAAGGGAAGGTCAGGAAGGGGACGTTACAAAGCACAAGGAAATCGAGGGCCTCACAACAGCCTCCTGAAGGAGAGGAACTTGCTGGCTTCAGGTATTCACCATCTCAGCGCGAGAAAGATGGGTCCAAGGTTGAGGCTGTTTGTTTCAAAAGGCAATTATGCAAAATACACAAAGAAAACACAGCTATTGTACCCTACACTGAAAGACTGATTTCTTGGCTTGCTCCCCATCCAGTACCATTTCCAGTATTGGTAAGGGTTGCTAAGGAATAGCACTTGCCACTGCTGTGTCTAAATCAGTTAAGAATCATTTAAAAGATTGAAAAATTCTTCCAGCAACAAGAACAGAAAGCAGCTGTTTAAAATCATCGTTGCATCATGTAGAGCAGTTCATTTGTTTGGCTTTTGCAGTGAGCTGATGAGCAAGCCCTCTCAGTAAGCACTTGTATTTCTGCTTCTCAACGAAGGAGTCGTGTTCACTGCCTGTTCAGTGGAAAGCAGAGCTGCCAAGGCAGCGGACTGGTTGGGAGGTGGGGGGAGGGGAAGGAGGTGTGCACAAAACCAACCCAGAAGCACTAACTGGTGCTGAACTTTGCCTCCCCAGGCTCGGCCAGCCAGAAAGGGAGAGTGATGGGAATCCTGAGGAGTCTGGGTGCCCTGGCAAGATCTGTAGGACCAATTGTATCAGCAACAGGTGGGTCGCTGCTGCTTTACACTGACACTTGACAGCATGAACCTCTCAGCTCTTCAGCCTCTTAGCTACCAGACTGGGGAAAGCAGACATTTTTGTGACCAGCAAACCCATAGCATTCCCAAGGGCTGGATGTCACAGGGAGGGCAGCTTTCACTGACATCCAGCACAGCTATTCATGATATGCGAGGATATTTTATTAGCCTGTTTTTCTGAAGTTCCTGTAGTTTCAGCAGTTTCTGCTGATCTCCATGTGAGTGCCAGACACTGAAGCAAGGTTCTGGACCTTGTGCACTGCCTCGTCCAAAGGCTCCTGCTACCAAGAGAAACAGAACTGTACTGTGTTGATGACGTGATGCTCTGCCAAGGGGCTGTGCTGGACTGCAGCACATTTACCCCAGGGAGTGAGGAAAGAGCTGTTTGTTCTAAGGGCAGAATGCATCTTGTCATCCTTCAGCACTGGCTCTCTCCAGTACCGCAGAAACAAAAATCAAAAGGAAAGCATGCTCTAATAGGAGAACAGACAGGACAGCAGCAGATAGGGCAGGGAGTAAAAAGCAAAAGAGATCAGGCAGGGAGCACAGGGCTCCGAGGAGAAAGGAGAGCAGCAAATCGGACAGGGGAATGGCATTGGAGTGGCACTTGAGGAGGTGGGGGCTAATCTGGCTTGCCAACCAAAAAGGTTTGCTGCCTTTGCCCCAACTGCTCTAGTCCCTGGATCAGTTTCCTTTGGAATGAAAGTCCTGCCATACTTGCACAAGGCGGCAGATACTGGGACAACAGGCCTAAAATATCTACAGAGTGAAAATCAGTCTACAACACTGCAAGGATGTTGGGAGTAAGGATGTCAAGCAAGGTAGAGCACCTGAGCGGGGTTTAAACATAGGCAATGACCAGAGGAAGACTGGAGAGAGGCAGTGAGGATACAGGGGTGCCAAGGCAAGACATGCAGTCTGCTGGGGGAGAGCAAATGCCAGGTGCTGTCAGTGCAGCCATGAGGAGCTACTGTTATGTTGCAACAAAAAGAGTGAACAATATATTAGCTTTATTTAGGTTTAGGGATGGTAGGTCTATCAGGCTATAAGACATAATGGTTGAGGATACCACTTACTGCTGGTGACTGCAAGGGTCTGATAGGAGATGGCTCACTCCACATGCCAGACCTTTTGCTCTGCCTTGACAGAATCTGCTGCTTGCCGCAGTCAAGAGACAGGATACCGAGCTAGATGGACCTTCGGTCGGATGAAGCTTAGCTCGTCTTATTGCAAGTAAACCCAGGAAAGGGAAAGGGACTAAGATGTAGAAAAGCAGTGAGGATTTTGGACAGAGCAAAACCTTCCTTGAGATGAGTCCACTTGTTCTGAGTAACCAGCTGAGGCCTGGCTGAGCAGGACCTTGTCTGCAGCACTGAGCATTGAGCAGACAGACACCTTACCCTACTGGCACAGCTCTGAGCTTCTCCGGTAGCTCGGTTGCCTATTTGTGTTCTTCTGCTGGGAATTGTTACTTCATGTGTCGGAGGCAGAAGGACAAAGATGGCATGTTGGCCAAGGTTGGGAGCCTGCAGCTTTCCACCTCCTCCTACACCCACAGGAACAGCATACGAAGCTTCCTGGTCTTGAGTGTTTGTGCGAGTGCTGGGTGGGGTGGAGAAGCCAGTGCTGGCTGGATCCAGACCAGCAGTGTGATGCGACACATACAGACAGACTTACTTTAAAGCAGGGGTGCTCAATCCCCAGCCCACAGGCCACATGTGGCCTGTAGAGCCATGGCATCCAGCCCATGCAGCTCCCCACAAGTCAGGAAATTTGGTGGTGGAGGAGCAGAGGTAGGTAATATGGTCACCACTCTCCACTGCCAAAATCCCAAGCCCCACACAGTGGGGTGGGGACCAGGCCATGCCCCCTCCCATCTCTGAGATGGGCCTCACCCTATTTCCCTTACATGGCCAGATTGGGCCCTGCCACAGTGTCCTGCATGTGGGATTGAGCCCACTGGCTGGATCATGGATAGACTGAGCATCATTCATCTGGCCTAAGGGAGAAAAATGTTTGGATACCCCTGCTTTAAAGTGTTGTACAATCGGGCAGGAAGGAGGCTGTATTCTTGAGGGCTGGGCTGCTTCTACTTGGCCCCTTGAGCCTGCTGCTCCCTTCTTTCTTCCTCAGCGTTGTCTTCTCCCTCTCCCTCCTCCCCACTGTGTTCCTTCTGCCTGCTGTCCAAAACCAAGGGCCTGTGAAGTGCAGAGCAGCTAAGACAGCTCCACCTGGGAAATTAAACTATTGGAGTTAAATGTGAATAAGGTAACATAAGGGGGGTTGGGGAGAGGGTGTGGGCAGCAGTGCCTGTCTGCTGAGCAGCAGGGTGGTCTCTTGTCAAGACCTACCCCTGAAAGTCCAGTCTGTTTAGATCCTGGAATGCAGACAAGCCTTCTGATAGCACGAGGCCTCTGCTGATTTTAGCCAGCGGCTGCATATAGGACAAGGAGTTGTGGGTGCCAGGACATGTAGCTGTCCGCTCACCCAGACTATGCACGTGGACCGAGCTATATCGAGTCCACGAAGGATGTCACTGACTTAGTCACTGAAAAAAAGTGTTGTTTTCTTTTCAGTTTATTGGCTGGCAGGAGCAGAGGTTTGCTTCACTGTTTGTGCAGGCTTCTTCCTGCTCCCCTTCCTGCTTCTTGGCTGGATGAAACAGCAAACAAAGAAGGAGTAGCTAATGTGAGGAGCAACCTGATGGCTACTGCAGCACTGCCACCATGTTCCCAGCAACTCCAGGCACAGGGTAACGGCAGCTGGCAAGAAGCAATTCCTATTTGAGGAGGGTTTCTGGAAGGGAATGCCACTTCTACTGTGCAGTCCCCACCAGCATTCGCACCAGCACAGCATCGCTCCAATTTCTTATCTCATCTCCAAAGTGTTCTTCACAATACAGCCCGTCAGCTGGTTCAGCTGGCTCTGAGAACAGACGCATGCTGTACTCTGGCCAGCTAGGATGGTGACATCATACCATGGCTGGTTAAACGCATATTTATGGGTAGAAAAATCATACTGCTTAGTATGCTCTGAGACCTGCAGCACAACTTGTGCTGGATATAGAAACCATGTGGGTTATGTACAATTTCCATCCAGACACAACAAGTGAAATACCATCATGCCATGTGATCATGAACACAGTATACCAATTTTTTTTTTTAAACATATACTCTCTTTGTAAGTTTCATTTAAAACACTAACAGCTCATCCTAACAGTCTGGCAAAACCTGCAGTCCAGAGGAGGGTAAGGGGTAGGTTACTGGCCAAGAAGTAATTCACCCAGATTAGGTCCTGATGAGGAAATAGATCATCTTTCTTTTTATTTATCTTTCATACTTACTTTGCCAGAAATGTTTGCACTGCCCCCTTCAGTTACCAGTAGCCTGTGGGATGTATTAGGGGCAAGAGCTGGTCTCTCTTAAAATATGTACCTGTTGCCTTAAACTCTTAATATTAAAAATAGCAGCTTATGATTTGTAAGCCCTTCTAGCAAGGGCACATTCTGTTGTCTCAACACTGTGTTTACAGCCTTGACAAAGGATCGTGAGCAAGTAGGTGCCCTCATTTTTATATGCAATATAGTTGGAAAATGTATTTAGCTACTTTTTATACTTGTTATCAGTTGTCACAAGATTTTGAAAGCTACACTGTTGTTTTGCATTAAACAGTCACATTGTGCCTTTGTCTGCTGCAGTTCAGGTACACAGGAACAGTGAACATCACTAGGGTAATTGGGGAGGGAGGAGGAAACCAGGGCAGCAGCCCTAGGTGTTGATTTGGGGGTGGGGGGCAGAAAATTAACAGCCACTGGTACCAGCCAGGAGCAACCACTGGGCAGCTCTGTGAGTAGCACGTGGGGCAATGGTCACTTTTGTTATGGTTGGTCCCTGACCTACTTCAGGTCCTAACATCATGCTGATGGCACTCTGCTCAGGATAGTAGATGCTCTCTACTTAGCTTCACCTTGCTTGTGATAGACCGAGTCCTCTCCTAAAGGAGGCAGCCTCCAGGAATCCAACCATTCCTCTTACATAAATCAGCCTCAAAAAGATCAGTTAGGGGCTATCACTGCAAAACTTCCCCTGCCTACAAGCATGAGTGTGAAGAACCATGCTTCCTGACATAGTACATAGACTTCAAAGTAGGAATTAGCATCCTGTTAGCTACTTTAATTTTTCAAGTAGGTCAAAACTTGCAGAATAAATCAACAAGCCAGAAAGAGTCTCAAATGGTCAGGTTTGTTTTCTATCTTACTTGCTCCCACCAACTATAGACCTATGAGTGGATGCCTCTCTCATCTTCCTTTTCACTTGTGCTGCTGAGAAAAAAAATATTGCACTGGCAGGGAGATAGACTCTATCAGAGAAATTCAGACCCCCCCCCCCCC